AAATACGGAATTACACTTTTATATAATTACATATTATTATGCAAAATATAGTTATATGTAATTATATTATATAGAATATAATATATAAATAAAGGAAGGAAAATACAGCGGCATACTGTAATGACGAAAGATTCTTGCATTTTTAAATAAAAATGTGCAAAATTGAAATTTGTAGAGAAGCTTAATTTTGATAAAAGTGACGCGTAATCGTATTTTCCACAAAGAATAAAATATAATAGAATAGAATAAATTACCATTGTGTTAACATTCCTACAGAATCGTAAAAAATAAGATTATTTGATGCTATGCATAATAACCACGGCAAGCTGATAAAGATCACGTTGAGCGTTCAACATACTTTTTCTAAATAAGTCTAAATATTCAATGAAAATTGTCGACATTGTTACTTTAACAAAAGAGAGCCATTTTAATTGCACTACCATAATGGTGACGAGTATCGGTCGCAATTGAAAATGATCAAGATGAAGTACTGAATTCTCGTGTACTTTGTTCGAACGTAATATCTCATTCGTCGAATTATGCTTCTCCTTTTTTCTCCTCAGCTCGGCTTCGCAGCTCTCCGGTATAGAGGCAGAAGAGGAAGCTGATGGCGAACGGGTGACGACGTATAAAGTGGGCATGTTGGGGGCGTCAGAAGTCGGGAAAACCGCTCTAACTGCACAATTTACCACAAGCGACTACATTTGCGCTTACGACGCCTCTCTCGGTAAGCAAATGATCGCTTTTAGTCGGATTTACGTTGCCCTCCTCCTGTAGTCCTGATTTAATTCCGATCTACTTTTTAATCCGATCAAATTCGACACCCCGAAAATTAATTCGATCCCGAATAATAATCTCGATGTCATCGATAGTTCACGGAAAGAATAGATTGGATAGTTCAGCAAAGCTGAATCCAGACGACACGAAGTGTCCAAAATTGAAACATAAGATATTTTTAGCGTCTAAAAAACGTCTTAAAGACTTTGTCTCTATGCCTTATTTTAGACTTTGTGTTATCTGGGTATAGTTTAGCTAGTTCAACTTCTATTAACTAAGAAGATTTGATGATGCATCAAAGAAATTATGTCCGTAAGAACTTTACAGTATGCTAACGCAACTTCTTGGCTACAATGAAAAGTTATTAATGTAACAAGTTTCTTTCATTACAGCAGCAAAAGTAGGCATCTTAATTATGTTTTGTTAAAAATTTGGATTTATATATTGGATTGATTTTCATAGAAAGTTATCTTTGTTATTAAATTTGCTATGCTATTACGATAAACATGATTGCTTATGATTGCCAATTGTATTTAGCTGTACAACTTTGCTACTTTAACATGGAAAACTGACTGTATATTACGGCTGTAGATTTGCTGAATCAGTGAGGTCTTCAACTGTTTTAACAAGTCTTTTCTTCCATGTTGGATTACTTTTGTGAAACTCTCTGACAATAATTAGCGTGATTAAAACCTGCGGATATCAAGAGAAATAGCGATTACGTTTCTTTCGCGATGAAACAGATCGGCTGCTTTCAATCGCACGTCCAGCCGGAGGGTCGCTTCTACCGAAAGGAAATTGATTGTCATTTATATTTCTACTTTCGGAAGAGACGTCCTTAGGGTATTCACTTCGAATGGACTTCGCCTCTAGAACTCTGCGCGCGGCAAACGATCGTCTCGCGACAGCTATTTCGCATTTATTATACATATAGCACTTGTCACGAACTGCACCGGATTGTTCGCGATATCGCACACGTCCATTAAACAGAATTAATTAATCCGCTGGATAAAACGTTATTAGCGGTATAACATATATTTGCACGAAATGCATATTTCCCTTAAAGCATTTTGATTACATCAATTAACTGTTTGAATATGCCTCCGATAAATTATTTCGCACGAGGAACGGATTGTGGAAAAAGATACAATAAAGTTTCTATGTTATCCTGGAAAATTCCAACGTTTTAGAAATGTTAAGTACGTTTTATATTTTACAATTACCGTTTGAATATTTTAATATACTATTTAAAATATCCAGAGTGAGAAATAAATCTCTTATAATCTGAGTGAATGATTGTTTTTATATATATATTTCTTTACTACGAGGTGTATATATTATAATAATCATTATCTTTAGAGATGTAATAAAATTCTGATTGACTACAACATAAACATTATTTTTATACGTACACAGTATAGTTTATGTATAAATAACGTTCAAACATTTTTTACATGATAAAAATGTACTTATAATTGATTGCCAATTTTAATGAATATTTTAATGAATATCGTTATATTCTAGATTTACGAAAAAATTCAGTAAAGAGAAAAATATTTTCTATGTAATTTATATAGTGTAATATATTCTCGTGTGTGTGTCGTGAATGTGCACAGCGTTAATTATTTTTCGCGAACACTGTTGGAGAAATTAGTTTCGTATGCAAGTCGCGTCTTATGTCTCATTAACTTTTTACGCTCGCGGTTTTCATTCCCATCTCGAACTCCATTACATTTCCTTATGTTTTCGTGGAACGAATAACAAGACTCTCTCTTTTGTAAAACAGCTTTTGCGCTGTGACCAGTCAAAATCAACGTGACCGGTGCTGCACAATTCAACGCATGCGAGAACAAAATTTAACGGGGAAACATTCTGATGCAAGCCGCTCTCTCCCTCATTACGTGTGTACACACAAACAACAATATAGTAATAACTTATAATTTAACAATCCAGTCGGGCCAATTAATTCGCACGAGCCATTCGTTTGGAAGCAATTTTCGCTTGTAATGAATTATTCGCGACGTACTGACGCTTTTGGTCCCACAAACTCAACGGCGTTCCCTCGCCCCCGTTTAATAAGCTGTAAGTTATCTGTAATTAAAACCCGCTTGTTTCACATTGTGATATTTGCGATGTGTATTTTGTAGCAATTGCTCTCGTCTCAACTATTCGAGCGGAGAGTACACGACGAAATTCCTTTATTATGTTACGCCTAGTGTTAACGCTAGAATATTTTGCATCAAATCTTTCCGATAACCAACATTGATATCGGATACCGCTATACTGGTGAGATCCCTGTCCATCCATCTATAATAATACAGCAGACACTTGAGCGGAAATGACGTTAAGACAACACGCGCAACCGCTATTGACTCGAAAAGAAAGATCTTTCGCTCGTCTTTCGCTTTGTCTTCCCTGCTTTTTCTTTGTCCTTCCGCCGGATATAACATGTACGTACTACGAAAGTACGTACGGTATTTTCCGCTGTGTTTCCGCCGTCAAAGTCACTCCCTCGTGGCCGATTTTATTGAAAACGCACACGGTTGTGAACTGGTACTCATTGCGAGTACCTTCAAAGAGTAGAGCTCTGATGTATCGATTTTGCGCCAAGTACTTTGCTCTGTGTGTGTGTGTGTGTGTGTGTGT